TGAATTAATACTAATTAATTTAAAATTTTAAGTTGAGATCAAAATTAAAGATTCAAACCTTTATATTGTCAAATAATTAACTCTTCAATAAAAAAAAAAAAAAAAAACCAACTCTTTCAATACTACAGATGCTTTTTTAAATTAGTGATAATATCACTTAATTTTCCTTTTTATTTTACTTTCTGATTGCCAAACCTAGTCTCAATAACTAGAAAAAATTTAGTGAAATAAAAAAATTAGGCATATTCAAATATTTTTATATCTTAAAATTATAATAAATAAGTGACAAATTTGAGTTTATTATTTTTATTTTTTACACAATTTGCAATAACTAATATTTTCTTTACCCATTTTTAAAGGAATGATTTTCTCTAATTATTTTCTTTGATCAAGAATTTTAAAAATGTGATGACCTTAATTAGTTAAAAAAATATCATATTCATAATTGAAATATTTTTAAAAAAATTATATTTTTATTTGTACTAAATCTCTTTCATCGTTAGTTAATCTCAATTATTGGAATGATGTTATGTATATCAAAGATACGATGTTTATGAATCTTTTTGATATAATAGATAGCAAAAAAATTACACCTTATAAATACCACCCAGCAGTTATCCTCATTCATTTATGAGTTGTTATCAACTCTTTGTGAGAGTAAGATGATACCATATTCTATTTTTTTTTTTTTTTATCAGCGATACCATATTCTAATTACCACGCACAATTTTCTGTTAGGACTTTTAGGTATACCATAGCATATTGAACTAGAGTATGATATACTATAAGCTCGATTTTTCATCCAAAAGGGTGCTGACACAAGTTGAAAAACCCAAAAATAATTACTAGAAAAATCAAAATGTCGATGGTGTGGCTAAGATCCAAGAAAAGTTAATAAAAAATGAAATGAAGAAAGCACTCAACATTGAATTATTTAAATCGAAAAAAAAATTATTTAGATTGTTGATAAATATTAATTTTAGATAATAAACTTAAAAAATAATTAATATATTTTTTTATTTAACACACTCATTCATTTTTATTGATTCAATCATTAAAATATATATATAATTTTAATTTTTTTACCTTTAAGTTAAATTTAAAAATAATAGTTTTTTAATAAATATATTCTAGAATATATTGAATTATATATTATTCTAATCATTGTCCTTTAACAAAAA